ACATAGCAGAGAGCTGGATCTGAAGAGGAGCAGCCGGGTCTTGAACCAGTGCCCATGTGGGCATTGCAGGTGGAGGCTTTACCCACTACACCATAGCGCCGGCCCGTTCTTAAAAGATTTATTTGAGGCTGGCGCTGTGGCTCACTAGGCTAATCCTCCACCTTGCAGCGCCGGCACACCGGGTTCTAGTCCCGGTCGGGGCGCTGGATTCTGTGTCGGTTGCCCCTCTTCCAGGCCAGCTCTCTGCTGTGGCCGGGGAGTGCAGTGGAGGATGGCCCAAGTGCTTGGGCCCTGCACCCCATGGGAGACCAGGATAAGTACCTGACTCCTGCCATCGGATCAGCGCGATGCGCCGGCCACAGCGCGCCAGCCGCGGCGGCCATTGGAGGGTGAACCAACGGCAACGGAAGACCTTTCTCTCTGTCTCTCTCTCACTGTCCACTCTGCCTTTCAAAAAAAAAAAAAAAAAAAAAAAAAAAAAACCAAAAAAACAAACGATTTATTTGAAAGAGTTACAGAGAGTGAGCGAGCGAGCGGTATCTTCCCTCTACTCCCCAAATGGTCATAATAGCCAGGGCTGGGCCAGGCTGAAGCCAGGAGCCAGGAGCTTCCTCTGGGTCTCCTTCGTGGGTGCAGGGGCCCAGGCACTTGGGCCATCCTCCACTGCTTTCTTAGGTGCATCAGCAGGGAGCTGGATCAGAAGTGGAGCAGCTGAGACCTGAATCTGTTTTTCTTCAAGTGGTGTTGTCAGGTGTGTGTTGGGGTCATTGCACAGTGGGAGGTGGAGGTGGCTCTCACTGTCTGCACTGTTGTTTTTTTTTTTTTTTTTTTTTTTTTTTTTTTTTTCAGGCAGAGTTAGACAGTGAGAGAGAAAGACAGAGAGAAAGGTCTTCCTTCCATTGGTTCACCCCCCAAATGGCTGCCACGGCCAGCGTGCTGCGCCAATCTGAAGCCAGGGGCCAGGTGCTTCCTCCTGGTCTCCCATGGGGTGCAGGGCCCAAACACTTGGGCCATCCTCCACTGCCCTCCTGGGCCACAGCAGAGAGCTGGACTGGAAGAGGAGCAACCGGGACAGAATCCGGTGCCCCGACCGGGACTAGAACCCGGGGTACCGGTGCCATAGGCGGAGGATTAGCCTAGTGAGCCGCAGTGCCGGCCCTCCGCACTGGGTTTTGATGCTTAGGTAGGAGTTCACCATTCTCCCTGGCCCTCTGGCCCCAGGCTGCAGCTCCATGGGGTCCTTGGGCTGACCGTCCAGTCGCTGTGTCCCTGCCCAGGCCCACGATTCTGCTTCTCCGTGGCCTTTCCCAGCTGTGGGCTCGCTCCTCTCAGTCATGCTGGCCACGTCCAGATGAAAACACGTGGGCTGGTGCTGTGGCATAGTGGGTAAAGCTGCCGTGTGTGGTGCCGGCGTCTCATATGGGTGCGGTTCAAGTCCCAGCTGCTCCACTTCTGATCCAGCTCCCTGCTGATAGCCTGGGAAAGCAGTGGAGGATGGCCCGGGTACTGGGCCCCTGTACCAGCATGGGAGACCGGGAAGAAGCTCCTGGCTCCCGGCTTCAGCCTGGCTCAGCCCTGGCCATTGCAGCCGTTTGGGGAGTGAACCAGCGGATGGAAGATCCTCCCCCGCCCAGCTCTATAACTGCCTTTTAAACAAAAGTTAGAAGTTGAAACACAGAGCTGGGCATTTGTCCAGCAAACAAGATGCAGGCGAGGTCGCCTGCATCCCACGCCAGGGCCCAGGGTCCACCTCCCAGCTCTGCTCCTACGTCCAGCTGTGGCCTTGTGGAGCGCTGGGGAGGGAGCCAGTGGACGGAGCTGTGTCTGTCAAAGAAGCAGCTAGCTAGCAAAGCAGAGCGGCAGGTGCCAGTGAGGAGTGGAGGGATGGGACCCTGCTGCCTTGCGCAGTGCAGGAAGCCACACGGCCACGGGGAGCGGGGGTTCTGAGTCGCGTCCACAGCTGCCACGGGACAGCAGGCCCACTCTGGGGAGGCCCAGCCCGGTGGCTGAACGCCCACGGCAGCCATGAGGCCAGACAACCCGGCCGTCCACATCCGGTAAAGGGATACACGGGGCGTGGCGTCTCCCCACGGCAGAACTCGCCCAGCCGTGAGCGGGAGCCAACTCTGACACCCACAGCACCAGGCGGGAGCCCGGGTGCCTTGCTCAGTGGCCAAACCACCCATGGCCGTAGGCAGTGCCTGCCCGGCTGGCAGCCTGGGGTGGCCGGGGCAGGGCCGCTGGTGGGAGGAGGCGGGACCGCTGGTGGGAGGGGGTTCCTCTGGGCTGGGGGGTGCAGGCGCTGACGCGGAATTGCGCACTTAACATTCCTTTGCTCACCGGTTCCTGCGGCTCCGCCTCTTGGGCTCTGAGCACCCCTCTGGGAGTCAGGGCCGTCTTCTTCCAGGCCAGGAACGGGCACCACCTCCAGGCTGACCCCCCTCACCCTCAGCGAACCCCGCAGGGCCGCCTGCCCGCCTCTGCTCTGCGGCACGGGCACTGGGGCCACCGGCTGCCCGTGGGTCTCTGGTGCCGCAGCGTTCCAGACGCCCCGGCGTCTCTGGCTGGAACTCCGCTGGCTCCGGGGACTCTTGGGGACTTCCAGTGGGAGGGGCACAGAAGAGGCACTGGCGACCCAGGGTGGCCATTGTGAGGTGGCCTGTTGTCGTGGCAACAGCAGAGTGGCCCCGCGCCACAGGGCAGGGCTCAGTAGGCCCTGGCTGTTGAGGCAGGTGGCACCTACCTCCCAAGGGGCCCTGTACGCAGTCCCCATGTCCCCCTGAGAGCCCAAGCCTGGCTTTGTGGTTGCAAGGGCCAGCGAGACCGTGGGCAGGCCACAGAGGCCGCGGTGCTGCCAGTTCTGCCAGGACCGGGAGGGAAGCCATGTGCGTGTACTCCGTCCCGCGTTAGGGGCACCCGGAGACGGCAGCGCAGAGATGAGCCACAAGGTAATGGCCACAGAGGCCGCGGTGCTGCCAGTTCTGCCGGGACCCGAGGGAAGCCATGTGCGTGTTCTCCGTCCCGCGTTAGGGGTGCCCGGAGACGGCAGTGCAGAGATGAGCCACAAGGTAATGGCCACAGAGGCCGCGGTGCTGCCAGTTCTGCCGGGACCCGAGGGAAGCCATGTGCGTGTTCTCCGTCCCGCGTTAGGGGCGCCCGGAGAAGGCGGCACAGAGATGAGCCACATGGTAATGGCTGGCCGCGCCCAGCTCCCTCTCTGCTACCCTTCCTCGTGGGAGGGGCTTCTGAGCCCTCCGCCCCGCCCCGCTGGCCACGGGCAAGGGAGGGGTTGGGAGAAGAGCTGTGGACAGGGTCCTGCCCTGTGCCCTGGGGTGAAACCCCCCACCCTTACAGGATGGGAGGGGCCGGGTCCCCTTGGGCTGGATTTGTGGTGGAGCCGATGGGGTCCTGGGCATGTGTCCTCCAGGTTCAGGCAGAGGGGACACGGCCCCCGGAGCTGAGTCAGCCGGGGCTTGGCCCCCTGGAGGCTTCATCCTGGACACATCTTGTGAGCCCCGTGGCCCTCGGTGGATGGCGTGGTTTCTGGGACTTGCCGCTCATGCAGGTGCCTCAGTGGCGCCCGTGTCGGCATCGTGGCATGTGGTGACACGGTTCTTCTCCTGACTGCTCTGTGTCGCGGGCCTGTCTGAGCAGAGTGTAGGAAGGGAGAGAAATTCTGCCCGAGCCCAGCTGCTGGGGCTTACTAGACGCTGTCTCGGGCTGGCGCAGCAGGGGAAGCCGACATCCATCCCAGAGAGTGGCTCCCGTCCCCGCTGCTCCTCCCATCCAGCCCCTGCTACGCTCCCGGGAGGGCAGTGGAGGATGGCCCAAGTGCTTGGGCCCTGCACCCGCATGGGAGACCAGGAGAAGCTCCTGGCTTTGGTCTGGCCCAGCCCCGGCCATTGCAGCCATTTGGGAAGTGAACCAGCAGATGGAAGACCTCTCTCTCCCTCTCTTTCTGTCACTCTGACTTCCAAAATGTTTTCTCTTTCAATTATCCTTTTTTTTTTTTAACAATGTAAAAATTTTTTATTGAGAGAGAGAAAGAGAGATATCTATTGATCTTCCATCTGCCGATTCACTCTCCAAATGTCCACCACAGGCGGGGCTGGGCCAGGCCCAAGCCGGGAGCCAGGAACTTGGTGTAGGTCTCCCCGTGGGTGACGGGGACCCAAGTCCTTGACCCATGGCCACTGCATCCTGGGGTCTGCAATAGCAGGACGCTAGGGCTGAGAGCGGAGCTGGCTGTCCATCCCGGGCTGCCTGCCCCCATGCTGCCCCCAGGAGTTAGGGCGGGCACAGGGTCGCCGCCGCCCCTGCTCAGGACTCTGCCACTCTCCCTGGTTTGGGTCCACGGTGGGTGGAGGGGGTGCAGCCTTTGGGATGTGCTGGTCGGGGTCCTGGGTGTCCACCCGCGTTCTGCACTGCCCTTGGGCCCGAAGCTGTCCGGTTTTCCTGAGGTTCCTGGGGCAGGGCACGGTGACAGAGGGAGCCGGCAGGAAGCCAGGCCCCCCCCCCCAGCTTCCTCTGACCCCATGGGGCCAGGTGGTGGCTTCGCCTTCCGGGGGCCTAGCACCTGGCTGGGTGACCCTAAGAGGCCAGCGTCCGGATTCCTTGGGGGTACAATAAGAGATGGGCCGTGAAGTCACAGCAGGGGGTGCACCCGGAGTGTGCACCTGTGAGGCCCCCAGGAGCCCGGAATGTGCACCTGTGGGGTGGGTACCCCACAGCCGCATCTCCATGTCCTCCCAGGTGGGTCCAGCAGGGCCGGTGAGGGTGGGGACCCCTGATCCTGGGCCCCTCTCCTGGCTCCCCAAGGCCCTGCCTGCGGCCACAGCCACAGGGCGGAGTCACTGTGCCCCACGTGTCACTCGGAAAGCCTGTGGCCATGTGGACTCTGGGGCCGGCCGGGCAGGGATGAGGCAAGGACAGAGCCGGGGCCCCTGTGCCTGGCGGAGGCCGCTGCCCTAACACTGTCCCCACGTTCTTGTCCCGCGCAGGAGGAAAACAGACAGACGCTGGCACGGCAGAAGTCCGGCGCCCAGCCGGACTCCCATGACGAGGAGGTGTCCCCGGTGCCCCCCAACCCCGTGGTAAAGGCGCGGCGCCGGCGCGGGGGCGTGAGCGCCGAGGTGTACACGGAGGAGGACGCCGTGTCCTATGTCAGGAAGGTGAGCCCCTCGCCCCCGGCCCCAGCCCACCCCCCTGCCCCGCGCCGGCCCCTACCGCATGCCAGTCCCGCCCCAATCCCACCCCGCCCCCGGCACCCTGGCCCCCATCACCACGGCTCACCTGTGGGTTCCCTGGGGGCAGAGTCTGGGCGGTGTGAGGAATCCTGGTCTGGGTCCCTGCAGAGAGAGACAGGGGTGGGGGTGCGGGGGGGGGGACGGACACACAGAGCCCCCACCCACTGCTTCACTGCCCAAACCGCCTGCGACAGCCAGGGCTGGGGCAGAAGCCGGGCCAGGAACTCCATCCAGGTCCCCTACCTGGGTGGCAGGGCCCAGACCCTGGAGCCATCACTGCTGCCCCCAGGGGTGCCCGGGGCTCAGTTCCTCTGATGGTGATGCGGGTGTCCGGACCCGGGGCCCAGTTCCTCCGATGGGGACAGGGGCGTCCGGACCCGGGGCCCGGTTCCTCCGATGGGGACGGGGCGTCCGGACCCGGGGCCCGGTTCCTCCGATGGGGACGGGGCGTCCGGACCCGGGGCCCGGTTCCTCCGATGGGGACGGGGCTTCCGGACCCGGGGCCCAGTTCCTCCGATGGGGACAGGGGCTTCCGGACCCGGGGCCCAGTTCCTCCGATGGGGACGGGGCTTCCGGACCCGGGGCCCAGTTCCTCCGATGGGGACAGGGGCTTCCGGACCCGGGGCCCAGTTCCTCCGATGGGGACGGGGCGTCCGGACCCGGGGCCCAGTTCCTCCAATGGGGACAGGGGCGTCCGGACCTGGGGCCCAGTTCCTCCGATGGGGACGGGGCGTCCGGACCCGGGGCCCAGTTCCTCCAATGGGGACAGGGGCGTCCGGACCTGGCTGCCCAGCCTCCCTCCCCCAGGCCTCGCCGGGAGGGGCACCTGGGCCCTGAGACGCTCAGCAGCTGTGGGCAGTGCTGGCCTCCCCGGGTGGCTCCTTGGCCCATGCCTGCGTCAGAAGCTTCCGGAAGCAGGTCCTGCACAGCCATGGTGCTGCCTCTGTACCTCTGGGGTCCCGACCCCTGCCCGGCCCTGACCTCTCTCCTCTGAACCAGGCAGGGAGCATCACCTTGGGCAGCCCCCAGCCTGGGGTCCGTTATCAGTTCTGTTGCCGCTGGTTCACTCCCCAGATGGCTGTAATGGCCAGGGCTGGGCCAGGCTCAAGCCAGGAGCCAGGAGCTTCCTCTGGGTCTCCCCCATGGGTGCAGGGGCCCAAGGACTTGGGCCATCCTCCACTGCTATCCCAGGCCACAGCAGAGAGCTGGACCGGAAGTGGAGCAGCCGGGACTTGAACTGGCGCCCGTATGGGATGCTGGCAGCGCAGACGGCGGCTTTAGCTGCTGTGCTGCAGCGCCGGCCCCTGTGTGTGTATCTGAACGCTGCAGTGAATACCGTTCAGCCTTGAGAAGGGAGGAACCCTGTCACGTGGGCGCTGTGCTGAGGGAATGGCCGGGCTCTGGAGCTCAGTGGGGCTGTGGGTGCCCAGGCGCAGCCCCTGTGCCGGGCAGGAGTCAGCGTGAGTGTGGGGTGTTGCAGAGCCGCCGAGGGGGTGGTCTCGAACATCTCGCCGTGACAGCTGGCTGGTGAGCGAGGGCCCCCAGTGGGAGCGGCAGAGTGGGCGGGGCCAGGCCACACTAGCTGGGGTCAGGCAAGGGACGTGAACCCTGGCGCCGGCCCCACGTCCCGTGTCCACATGGCCGGGTCTGACCGCCCGTGGCCTCCCCGCAGGTCATCCCCAAGGACTACAAGACCATGACGGCGCTGGCCAGGGCCATCTCCAAGAACGTGCTCTTCACCCACCTGGATGACAACGAGAGAAGGTAGGTGCCCGGGAAGGTCCCCGAGGAGGCGCCTGCCGCGGCTTTCTGGAAATGTGGGCTCATGAGATGGGGGACGGCCTCGGGATGGGGTGCTGTGGTGCGCCTGCTGTGGCTCAGGGGAGCCGGCCCTGGCCCAGGACAGCCAGGCTGCTCCAGACGCCGCCTCGGGTCCCTGTGCCAGGCCCTAGGGCGGAGAGACACGGTGAGCCCCGGGGGCTGTGTCCAGCAGCGTCCACGTGCTGGGACCTGCCATGCCCACTGCCCAGTGCAGAGACGGGGCTGAGGGGCCTGGGAGCTCAGGGCGAGGCAGGCTGGATGGAGGGGGCCGGGTGCAGACGGCGGAGGCGGCGGGTGGAGCCGTGTCGGGGCTTGGGAGGGGCCACACTTGGGATGCTGACGGGTTTGGTGACGGTGGAGGTTGGGGCTTTGATGTGGCACTCGGCCCTGTCTGGTGTCTTCTGGGGTCTGGGCTGGGTGCCCTGGACACCCCCGCCGACTAGTGACACCACGGCTGCCGTCGGTTTTGTCCCCTTGTGCAAGGCTGCTGATGCGAAGCTGCTGTTGTCCCCACGGCCGTCGTGTCTTCTGTGACAAAGTGATTGGTGGCCATCCTTCTGGGTCGGCTCGGAGTCCTTGTCCATCAGAGGAGCCTGGGTCTAGAGGCTCCGTGTGGCGGGGCCTTGACTTCTGACCTCTCATGTTACTGCCCATGGCTGTGGCAGCCAGGGCCACCTTGGTTCTGTTACCGGAGAATGGCAGGGTTCTTGTCTTCGCGCAAGAAAGAATTCAGGCGTGAGACAGAGTAGTGGAAAGTAAAAGTAGCAAGGTTTATTAGGGTAGTGACATCTGCAAGAATGGATGGGCACCTCTCTAGACAGGACCTGAGAGAGTGCCCAGTCACTCGGACTGGGAGGGGAGGGGGGAGGAACGAGGTTACGTGGTTGAGTGGAGAGATCACACCTGGCCAGGCAGGCGGGCGGCTCAGCAGAGAGGCAGAGGGCTGAGCGTGCAGTCCGGTTGAGGCCGGGGGTTTTTAAGGAGATGGGTCTTGCTTCCCCACCTCTGCTCCTCTTGGAACAAAGGGCTTTTGGGATTTAAATAGGAAAACTTCTGAGTTTCCCCTGAAGGTATCAGTCAGGAGGAAGCCTAGCTGGGCCATCCTGGGTTCAGAGGAAGGGTGAGCAGGACCCTCTAGAGAATGGGGATCCGGAGCAGGGTGTTTGAGATGCAGATACTGGGCTGCACCTGGGAGACTGTGGAAGATTTGTCAGGCAGAAGGGGCGGGGACCCCACCTGGCAGGTTATCAGGTAGAAGGGGGCAGGGCAGGATGCGAAGGCCGGGCTGCCCCTGAAACATTATCCGGATGACTGTGAGATGCAGATGCAGATGCTGGACATAGACGTCTTCTCTTTAGGCCTGTCATACACACATAAGCTCATATCTGACTTCCTACCTAACAGTTACAGGTGTGGGTCTGAGCAGGTGCGCCCCTGCCTGTGTCACCGGGACCCCAGGCAGGTGTGGCCATGTGAGGCACCGGGGGTGGCTCCGAGGGGCTGCACAGGGGGCCCATGATGCCTGTTACTCTTCCCGCCCTGGGAAGCCCGTCACTCAGGTCTGGCCAGGCGCCCCACTGCATGTCTTGTGTGCCCTGTGGACTGACGGGTCCCGTGGACAGCAGGGGTCCTGGGGAAGGCGAGTGGAGCCCTTTAAGCCCCCAGGGCCTCTCTCTGAGGCTCTGGTCCCAGGTGGGGGACAGCGCTCTCTCCCACAGGCCATCCCCACTTCCACTTCCTTTGGCCACTTGCTGAGCCTGGGGCCGTTGGGGGTTGTTGAGCGCTGATGGCCAGCAAGGGCTAGGCCGCATTGTGGTGTCATCACTCAGCCCATGGCCCGGGGTCCTGGGGACGCTGTGTGCGTGGTGGCTCAGCGGCTGGACTTGTTACCGCCTCAGCCCACGGTGCGTGTTGGGCTGCACGGGCCACTGTTGGCAGCCGGTGAGGCTGGGGGAGCAGCAGTTTTCTCTGTTCCTTGGGTCACAGCGTTCACACACAGGCCTTGGGAGGTGGTACGGCTGGCCCCTCCTCCACCGTTTTAATTGTGGCAAAAACATGTCACCAAAACCACAGTGGCGTGGGTCTCTCTCGCACTGTGTTGCCGTCTGCACCCGGTGCCTGCTATGCCACCTCCTCGCATCCCCTGGGAGTGAGGCTGAGCCCTGACCTGCTTCCTGTCTGAGTTCTACTTCCTGTCTGAGTTCTGCTTCCTGTCTGTGGGTTCTACTTCTGGTCTGTGGGTTCTATTCCCCATTTCTGGGTTCTAGTTCCTGAATGTGGGTTCTACTTCTGTCTCTGGGTTCTGCTACCAGTCTGTGAGTTCTATGTCCGGTCTCTGGGTGTAACTTGTAATTCCAAACTTCTTCCAGTCTCTGGGTTCTACTTCCTGTCTGTGGGTTCTATTCCTGGTCTGTCGGTTCTACTTCCCGTCTCTGGGTTCTACTTCCTGTCTATGGGTTCTACTTCTGTCCTGTGGGTTCTACTTGTACTCTCTGGATTCTACTTCCTGTCTGTCGGTTCTAATTCCAGTCCCTGGGTTCTACTTCCGGTCCTTCGGTGCTATTTCCGGTCTCTGGGTTCTACTTCCCACCTGTGGGTTCTACCTCCGGCAGCTTTATCCCAGCCGGGCAACCATGGTGGGGATGACCTGCCATATTCTTAACACGGGTGCAGCCCCCGGCTGGCCCTGCCCCCAGGCTGCGCACGGCTCCTCTGCTTCCCGCTGGGTTTCGAGGGGCAGAGCAGCCTCCCTGCAGCCCCTCCTCCTGCGTTCAGGCTGGGGCCCGTCCACACGCTGGTCATTCCATGATGGCGTCTGTGTCACACACTGAAGTGTGGAGGAGGGCCAGGGGGGTCCCTGCCTTTGGGTGGACAGGAGAGGATGCCACGGGGTTGTGGGGGTGGCGTGAACCCCGAGACCACTGTCTTGGGATAGCGGTGTATCTGTGCGGCCTTTATCCAGGGCGCTGTGGGCCTGCACACAGGGTCTGAGGAACACGGCCCCCCTCATCCTTGCACACGGCCACACGGCTCACCAGGAACGGAGCCTGGGTGGGGGGTGGCAGGTGGGCAGTCTGCACCTGCAGGGAGCTGGCCGTGGCCCAGAGGGTGTGGGCGAGAAGGAGCCCAGGGGGCCCTGGACACAGTGGCTGGTGTGCCTCCCACATACACATGTGCACACACACACGTACACACGCATGCACGTACGCACATTCGTGTGCATGCACACACACACGCATGCCACTCACTCAGAGGCCCAGAAATTGCGTGGCTCTCGGGAGGAGCGTGATGTCCTTCACAAGCTGTGTCTGACATCGGCTGGGTCTCCGTTTGCTCCAGTACCAAATGGGGGTCAGATCCTCTGAGGGTGGTGGTGAGGGTGTGAGTGGCCCTGCCCACGTGGGTAGGATCACCATCACCGTAGCCTCCTTCACCATCGCCTTCGTCACCGTCACCATCACCATCACCATCACCATCACCCATCGCCATCACCGTCGCCGTCACCACCCCCATCTTTCTGGCAGTCCATGGCTGTGTGCCGGGGGCTCCTGGTGGGCCTCTCCGTGGGTGGAGCTTTGCCCTTGGAGGCTGACCGGCCATCCACACCGAGCCTGAACCAGGGCCCGTGTTCCTCAGGCTCCTGTCTGAAGGGGGCGTCGGTGCGGCTCAAGACTGCTCGGTGCTGCCGCTCTCTGCTCCCCTAGGCCTGGGGTAGGAAGAGGCTGTGCGTGGCTTCAGGGCTCCCATAGCCAGGGAAGGGTCCCTGGGAGGCCCCCTGGGAGGCCCCAGTCCCTGCGTCAGTGGCCAGAAGAGAGCACTGAGCGGGCAGCCCTATCACCTGGGCCTCGTGCTCACAGCCCACTCAGGGCTGGCACTGCCAGCGAGGGCCTGGGGCAGGGGCAGGGGCATTGGACATGGCCTGGGGTGGGGGCAGGGGCAGGAGCATTGGGCCTGGGGCAGGGGCAGGTGGGTTGGGTAGGGCCTGGGGCAGGGGCAGGGGCATTGGACATGGCCTGGGGCGGGGGCAGGTGGCAGGGAGGACAGGGCCTGGGGCGGGGGCAGGTGGCAGGGGCAGGGCCTGGGGCAGGGGCAGGGGCAGGTGGCAGGGGCAGGGCCTGGGGCAGGGGCAGGGGCAGGGGCAGGGGCATTGGGCAGGGCCTGGGGCGGGGACAGGGCTTGGCCTTCTGGGGAGCTCCCCTGCTCAGACAAGGTAGCTGTGTGCCCCAGAGCCCTGGGCAGTGCTAGGACAGCGAGGGGCTGGCCTTGGAGGCCACTCCAGGCCCGGGAGCCGTGGGAGCCGTGGGAGCCGTGGGGCTCCCTCCCGCCTTGCCCTGATGAGGGCACCTGGGGCCTCGCTGAGCCCCTGGGGGGTGAGGAGCTGCCACTTAGGAGGCCCTGGCGTGTTTATGGCAGGCGCGGCCTCAGCGGGGCCTCATTACCGGAGCCTCGGGCGGGCGCGGCGCACCCTGGGGCCCTTCCTTCCTGGCCGCAGCTCCAGTGGAAGCCAGGCCCCTGGCCCGAGTGGCCCCAGCAGCTGTCTCTCGTTATCTCTGCCGCCTGTTTTTCCAGGCCGCAGGTGATGAGGAAAACACCCGTCTGCGAGTCACATGTGCGCCCCGGGGGGAGCCGTGTCCTCGGCCCTGACCTGCAGGCTGGCGCTGGCTCGGGGGCTTGCTGCCCGCCTTCGGAGCGACACGGAAAAACAAGATGAGCGTTTTGGAAAATGCAGAGCCTCATCCAGAGACGCTCAGCGGCCTGAACTTGCAGAGAGGTTTTTTGGTTTTTTGTTTTTTTTTTTTTTGGTTTTGTTTTGTTTTCATCTTGTGCAAAGCCAGGCTCGAGCAGACTTGAGGTGGCACACTGTCGGCTTTGGAAGCCAGAATTCAGGGGGCGCTCAGAGAGCCCAAGCCGACTCCCCGAGCCCCAGCTGGGGCTGCAGAGGCTGGGAGCTGGGCCTCGGTGGGGCTGGCTGCCCGCACAGTTGCACGCGCAGGTCAGGAGCCGGCCATGGGAGCA